TTGGGGCCACGGCCTTGCAGACCACACCCGATGGTAGACGGGAAGAGAGAGGACCAGGTGGGGGCAATTTGGTCGCACATGACACGGCTGTACAACTGATTGAGGCACCCCAAAATCGTAATCGTGTCATACTATTGGCGAGAGCGCTTAGCCAAAAGTGCAACCCTTGATACCATAGCCTGGGCATACCATCCCCCTTCCCGTGCGACACGAGAAAAGAGAAAGCACAGATGCTCCACGGCGGGGTGAATTCCTCATAGGAGAATCCATCCGCTCCTCTGCACCTACCGTTCGGAAGAGACCTAATCAGTCTTTGAACACTGCCGGGCCGAGACCGTTTTTCATTAGGGCTCAAGGGTTTTTAGGCTACGAGCAGTGCACCAGGCCTTTAACTTGTGTGTGCTTGGAATGAGGGGGGCATGCGTGCCCCCTTGTGGGTAGCCGGACATGCCGCGCTTGATAGACAAATCTAATTCTAATTGATTGCAAAACGCATCAATAGGCTTTGAATATCTTAGCCGTAACTCCTATTTGAGTGCCTTGCTTTGTCATGGCCTTAGTGCACCTGCATCTCAACTCTTGACAAGCTGTTTTGCGGCTTTTGCGCATCAGCTCACAACTTGAGACGGTGCCTTGCCTGGATCATTAATTCGTATCCATGTCACTAATTCCAGAATTGTTTTTGGGTCGCCTTGCTAAGTTGATGCAATCATTCTAGCAAGGGATGAAATCACCCTTCGCTGCGACCCGCTTTGCACCTGCCCAAATCGCAAGAGAGGGGAGTTGAACTAACCCAACTTTTCATGGGGTGTGTTCCTTTTAGCTTTTTCTTCGGATTTGGTGCATGAGTTTTGTACCTGCCATCATTTTGCTCAAGGCGTAAAAAGGGACTTGTGCACGCGCTGCCGGCCATAGTGCTGGGTCACTTGATTTTCTTGAATCCTGGTATTTCAGCTTTGCCCCCTTGTTTGTTTCGTGTTTGGGTTGTTTTCTATTTGGCCCTTCTTTAATCTGCACTTTGGCTCTGCCGTGGCTGGGGCCGTGGTATTTTGTCACCCTCGTTTACATCGTGCAGCGTGCTGCTGTTAGGTTCTTTTTTGCGAAACATGGGTGGGAACAGTGCATGTTTCTTAGTGCAGCGAAGGACATTTACCTACATGAGGGCTCTGCCCGTTTCTCAAGTTCCTGTTGAAAATATGGAGCTTCCAAAATGGGGCGCCGTTGGAAAAACTGCCGGGGGGAGAAACTATATTTTTGTGGGAGAGCACAGTAGGGCCCCAAGGGGGTTGCACCCTGGTCCTTGTTTGAGTTCCCTTTCTGTGCCTAAAAACACTTGAATCCGTTTCGGATTTGCTTAATCTTGGTTTAGTATCGTTTAATGTTGGCTTAGCGCGGGTTGTTGTGTTGCTTTAGTATTGTTTAGGATTGGTTTTCGTTTGTTGCTTTAGTGTGACCGGAGATCAGCGGAACATCTGCTGGTTTTAGAATCATGATGAAAGTTGGTTACTTGGGGTTTCCGGATTGGCCGTGTACATTGTATCAGTTGGCTTGAATGCAATTGTTCCTTCACAGCACGCGCAATTCATGAGCTGCAGTTTCGGAATTTGACCAGGACGTGAACATTTTTGTCAACAACCAGCAACACAGACTGAGTGTCAAGATCATGCCTTCTACTGTTTCCGTGTAAACCTGCTTTTCTTGTCTGATGACCGTTCCATTTGTTTCATTTCACAGAAGCTCGCAGGAGTTCTCATACAGCCGTCGGCTCCACGTCTCACATACATGTTGCAAGTCTCACCACACGTCAACAAATCGCCAAACACCGAGCAGCTTCAACCGGACATCGTTGAGGTGCCAACCGTGAAGCAATTATTTGCTGAATGCGTGCAATGAGTTTGCGTTCGCAATTCATTCTTAAACCATCAAACAACTGGTCTGTGCAGTAATCCGCCATTTGTCATGGGAGCTGCTGTAGGTTGCAGCCAGTGCGTCAGCTTTGCACTTAGTCGCTTTCATTGTTTGTTCATTGTTGCGGAATCTTTGGTTTTGCATCACACGTATCAGTGGATGTGATATACACATGGCACCCCTGCTGCCTGGATACATACCTTCCTTCACTGGTATTTGGAGGGAAAGCATCAAAAAACGGTGCATTTGCAAAGACAATCTGAAAACTTCAGAACCCAGGCCCGAATGAAATCTCAGTCGGTCTGCATGTACTTTTGTCCTATTTCTAAGCTGAGGTTTGGTCAGACCCTGCAACACAACAGCTAATCGTGCAGCCAATGGCCCAAAAGTAAAAAAGTAAAAAGTAAATACCTGGAGCCTGGAAATTTTGAAAAAAAAACAAACAAACTACCCTTTGCTACTTTTGTTTTTGGGCCATTGACTCCGTGATTTTAATGTGTTTGATGTTATGTTTGTTTGCAACTCAAATGGGGGTTTAGGGTTTGGGGTTTATTACTCACAACTCAAGAAGGAAGTCATTCTAATAGAGTTTCTAGTTGCAAGATAATTAAAGTAGGCTTTTCAAAGAAGATTTGTAATCTATCTTATTATTTGAATTTTGATTTGAAACGATTTTGATTGATCAGAACTTACACAGATGTTTGTCAGGAGATAAATCTAGTATAATTTCCAGTTTCAAGAGATAATTTTCATAGTAAAGAAGGTTTTTAATTAGGAATCTTGTGCAAAAATTGGATTTAACAAATCCATTCACAGTTTTTTTCCCCTATTCGACATTTAAATGGATACTAAAAGTCGATCTATATCTTAAATGGAGTTTGATAAGGACACACTTCTGGGGAACTTTCCAACTTTAAAGATGATTTACGCAGGATTTCCTTTTCAATTCGAGCTTTTACTTGGATTTTGTAGTGCAAATTGGATTTTGAAGGGGATACGCTTGCTTAGCATTAGCTAATGCTAGTCAAGTCGCACGGAGCAATCCAAATAGAACAACTGCAATCCATCTCCACTATAGCCTTCAAACAGCAAAAAGGTAGATCCATAGGGAGAGGGGGTGCACCTGTATATATATATATATACATTTCTAAAAAGATGTAATCACATCTCGAACACATGCTTTTGTTCAAGATCATTCGGCTAAGGTCGAAATGATCCTGATGGCACCATTGCAAGGCGGGCGGCCATACGCTTCCATGAGCCTTTGCTTCAAGTCTTCCAAATGCAGGTGCATTGACAGCCCGTGGTCGAAACCCAATGTCATCAACGCTGCAGATATGATTCTCGTCTTGATTTTGTAAACAGAGGCGCAAGAGGGAACTTGCACAACTCAGGCACTTGCCGACTGGGCTGGCTGCGCAAATAAGTGAGGCAGGGATTTACACGCACCAGTGCTACATTGTGTTTCCGGCATCAAATTTGAAAGGGAATTTGGTTGATCGAAATGTTTCTTCAGTCATGTCAGATCTCAACATGCGATCCGGGAAGGTTCCTAGCGCCCCGGCTGCTGTGGCTTGCCGATCCAGGAGTGATGGCATCAAGATTATGTATTTGCCTTTGCGTCGCTGTGTAGGGCGAGTCGATCACCGCGTGCCCAGATTGACGACTCAGAGGTGCCTTCCTCGCTCGCACATCATACATGCGGTTTATAGAGCCTGTGAATCGGCCAATTGTCTCGGAGTGGCAGGTCTCGAAGTTCATTATCCTGGAGCTGCCGAACGATTCTCGTTATGAGGCATGTTGGGATGGCAATTTTTGTTTTGTTCTTTCCTCTTGGGGTCAGGGTTCTGTGGAAGCTGAACTTCTTGCACACGGCCATGGACGGCTTCAATTCGCCAATGGCTGATGCCTCAGCAACCGAATGCATTTGGCTTGTCGCTGTGCGTCTGACAGCACGCCAAGCTCAAGGAAGTGCCTATGATGGACAATGGATCCGAGACCGGGCGCATGGATTTGGCCGCTATATTTGGCAGGACATTGCAAGAGCAAACAAGCTTGCCATCTTTTATTGTTTTGTCGTATTCTACAAGCGTGTTCGGACTTGCCGATGTCATTGTTGTGTCTGACAGTCATTCAGTCAGGTCAAGAAAGTCGGCCACCTGCCTCTCAAATGAACATGATTTGAGGATAGCTCCATCTACGAGGGCCAATGGCGGCATGACCAGCAGGACACTGCTGCTTGCTCTTTGCACAGAACCTTGAAGTGTTTGGCCACCGTGGCAGTGACAATGCTGCAGCCCTGCAGTGCTCAAGCATTGAGCATAGGGCAGGCTTTGAACAAGCGTTCTCCACAGTTTTTGTGCCAGGCAGAAATAACACACACTTAACTGCTTTTTCATCCATCATCAAAGGATGTACGTGGCCAGTTTTAGAGTGTTGCTGAGACCATTCATGGCATTCACTGTTCTGGCCAGCCTGTTTGGCGGCCGGGAATATGGTCGCCGGCTGCGGTGCTGTGGTCGGAGACGTCGTGAAATGATTGAAGTGAAGGCCTGGGTTAGTTCACACATTACGCACACACGAACTTTTATTGTGGCTTCGACTTGTTTGCAACAAACGTCCAAAAGGTCCAACTAAAAAAGCAGCTTCAGAGATGTGGCGTGCCCAGTGGAGGTGCAGGGCTGTCACCTGAGATTGGTTTGAATTGGAAGCAACACAGGCTTCAATGATGTGACATGCCGTGCCCATAGCTTGTGCCCATAGGTTTGCATGTGCACATGGCTGTTTTTGCCCATTCGCAGACCTGACCAGCATAAGGTGATCCGTGCGGGACGTCTTTTGGGAGTGAGCATTACCCCCAGTATCTAAGGAGGATATCCATTTTTGGTTTGTTCATCCGAACAAAAAGCAGTGCATAGTTTTAGCTGCATTGGCATTTGCCAGAATTCGCAGTTTGATTGCCGGAAAGCCGGCTCCAATACGAAAAAGGAAAAAAAAACACGGATTAGCATATCATGAAAGATGAACACAACGTAACCATCTTGACATTCAGTGGATTCATGTTTTCCCCATGCTAACATCGTGCACGCCAGGTTTCTGCTGGATCTCGCTGTGCAACGGTGCAAGTTCCAGCTGATGCGGTGCCCGGCCTGACTCGGGTGGTTGTCAATGACGAAGGCCGTATATTTTCTTGCCCGCTGCCCACGGATGCTGCGCCTCGCTGTGCGATCAAGGTCTTCTTTGCAGGCGCCGGCATCCAATGCCAAGTCCAGTGGAAGCAGCCGGCTCGCCTTCGGGCATTGGTCCCAGGGGATGCTGTGCCAGGCATATCCACAACATATGTGCGAGGTCCATCTGTGCTGCAAGTCACCGTTCCACACGAAGCGCAGCCTGGGGATACACTGCTCATAGATCCGGATGGGAAGGAGCCAAGCCAAATTTCCAGGCAACAATATGAGATGACAGCGCCTGTGCCCGTCCCAGCCCAAGACGACATGGAGCGCCATAGACGATTGCAGGTGGTTCTTCAGGAACACGGTGGCACCTGGAATCCCAAGATTGAAAGAGAAAGCACTGACAAGTTGGCTGTACCCGGCATTCTGGCTCGCGAGCGAATCTCCAAGGGTGAGGTGTTGGTTAGGTGTCCACCGAATTTGCTTTTGTCAGCAAATGCTGTTCGGAATATCAGGCCGGATTTCTCCATTCTGGTGGCAGAAGTTGCTCATGCAATGCGATTTGACGCTCCAGACATTGACGTGGCGCTGCAAGCGATGTTCTTAGCAGACCTTATTGCTGTGTTGGAGGAAGACTTCGTTGGCCTCGGCATCAAGGACATGTCAAAACAGTCCGTGTGGGGTGCCTTCGTACGTGTGCTGCTTTGTGAAACTTTCGTGCAGCACCCTTACCGTCTTGCGGCTCAGAATCCAGCTGCGTTCAAGTCCTTGTTGTCTCCTTCTTGTGAAGCGGACTTGATCGAGTACTTGACATGGGGAGCCTTGCAGTGGTATGATTTGCTCTGCGCCAGAAAGCCGCTGAGATTCTCAGCAGAGCAGTTTCTGCGCGGGTGGCTGCTTGTAATGACACGCGCCTTTGATGTGGATGGCACTCGCACAACGCTGATTCCAGGGCTGGACTCATTTAACCACGACCCCCAGCGAGTGTCTGCCCGGGCCGTCAAGGATGAGCATTCTGGCATGTTGGTGGCTGCCACAAGAGATATTGAAGCAGGGGATGAGGTGTTTGTGGTATACCAGTCCTTTTCCATCTCAGAGCTCTACCGGACGTATGGCTTCACTCTGCCACTCGAGGCAGGATGTCCATGCTTGCGCGATCCGAGAGAGAGAGAGAGAGGGAGAGAGGGAGAGAGAGAGTCGCAATTCTGTTTTTGGATGTTTGAGGCAGTGCCCCACCAGACCTTCACGGTGTTGCCCAGCAGGGCGCGCGCCATGATGATGAAGCACCTTCCCCTTAGCCACGCTGGACAGCTGATCGAGTTTCACAGTGCCATGTTGCACCCGAAGCTTGCCAACGCCGTGCAGGCCCATGGACATGTCGGACATGTGTTCCATATGGGTGGGAACAGCAAGTTTATCAGGCTTCTACAAGATGTTCTCGAAACTTGGTGAGCGATCTGCTGGCGCAGCCCTGTGGTTTTATGTGTAGGGCTGCCAACAGTGGTTGAACGCATGCTGTAGTGGGTTGCTTTCTGTCGCAAGGCTGGTCAAGGCAGCGTTATTTGACACCAGCCTAGTAGATGTGTGGTCAGGCTTCCACACAAACAGTACACCTGTCGGTTTGGCTTTTGGCGGAATGGTTGCCTTTTCGTGTTGTTCTGCCATCAGCAGCATGTGAGCCTAGCAAGTGTTGGTACACAAGTTGCCAGAGCTTTAGAGCTTTGTCATAGTATAAGATTGGTGCCTGAAGTGGAAGAGACTGCAAGTGTGTGGATCTGCTCATCAGTGCCCTTGGAAGATAGTGCAAGACCTATATAAATCAGCTGTTCTAGAGTGTAGCCGGTCAAGAACTTCTTGCAGAAATCTAATTTTGGAGTGGATGTGTGCTTGCTGCAAGCCAGGCTCTCGAACGCGTACATTCATCGTCCAGCAAGAACTGTCATTCATTGTCAAGTTTGCGTTGAGGAAGTGCGGCAGTTTTCTCAAATACTTGCCAAGCGGGTGTGGGAGTAAACAAAGCAGATGCCACTTTCTTCCTTGCTGAATCCCTGCTGTCAGTCGGGCGAGGCTTGCGCACGTGAAGGCGGCAAATACATGGACTTCGTGCGCGAAGTGCTGCAGTTTTTCTCGGATTTGTACGAGCTTGATCCGCAGCTCCAGGCCTGCCAGTTTCTCACAGAAAAGTCTGTTTGACTGCTTCTCTGCGCCTGAACTGCGAGGAGGCCATTGCGGCAAAGTCTGCAGACGACGACGTGCTGCGAGTGAAGCTGAGCAGCTTGTCATATTTCAGTTCCTGGCAGTCTTGTTCTTCTGGTGTGCAGTTGATCCCATTGATTTTGCTTCAGGTGAATATCGTTGTATTCAGCGCTATTTGAAGAGCCTGAGTGACCCAACCAATGAGTTGAGCCAACATTTGCATCGCGTCGCATCGGCCGAAATGAGCCTTGCCCATGTTACTTGAAGTCTGCTTGTGCATTGCCTTAGCCGTATCCTTGCGCAGGATGGAGTGGGTAAAGAAGTATGGCGTGATGGATCTAGCTTTGAAGGCTCTTTCAGGAACTTTGCGATTTTTCGCAAGGATTGAAGTTGTGCTATTACACCTTTGCCAAGTCACAAACCACCACTGAAGGATGGGAAAGAAGACTGGCTTTGCAAAGGCACATGATGCACTTGCTTCATGGTGCAACATGCCCGAATCTGGTGGAGAGTGCAGTGTGTTGCGCATGAAGCACCGGTCTTCAGGTCAAGTGGCCAGGAGGCCGCTATGAAGGAGAAGTTAGTGGCAGCGAGCTTCATGGACAAGGCGTCGGAATGATCCGATTAATGGAAAGGGAGGATTGCTTTTGCTAGAGGTACCTTGGTTTGGACTGACGGACACGTATATTCTGGCATATGGGCCAAAGTCTCAGCATCACTTGTCTCTGAACTGACTTGATGCGGTCGTTCTTCAGGTGTTGGGTCAGATGACTGGAGAGGGCGAGACGAAGTGGCCCGATGGGCGGTTGCATAGGGGCAACTACTACAAGGCCTCAACATACTTGTCGGGAAATCGTATTCAACTTGACAGTATCAGGACAAACGGCATGGTTCAGGATGCTTTGTGTGGCTCCTTGCTTAGTTTTCGTCTTCGCAACATCTGAACAGAAGGTATTCTTCTGGTTATTTGTGGCCCCAACACAAACGGCTCAGGCCAGATGGTCGACAATACTCCGGCCAGCAGAGAGCTCGGATATGTCACACATTCAAGGCTTAGGGAATGGGGTGTGCTTGATTTTCGGAAAATTCGATCCTCGCTGCTTGGGATGCTGGCTATGGGCATTTCCTCGATCGGACACAGTCTGTTCTAGGCTTGAAAACGTTCACCCGACAACTTTCGCTAAGGATCGCGTGGATCATGGCCCAGACAAATCGCTGCTGAAAAAACGCAACTGCTGCTGAAAGAAAAACGGAAACAGAGTCGGCTGAAAGCGAACGTGTGCTTCGGAAGCCCGGGAAAGCGCGACCGGATCCACAAACCTGCCTTGAATTTCGACGCAAAGGGGCCTGCTCGCTGCCAAGCCCCAACGCTCTCGGAACGTGGAGTCCCTCTATGCTTAAACGGAGTGCCTTTGGAGCCGCCCGGCATCACTCTATGCACTCTGGCTTAAGCCAAAAGCTCAAACATTAGGACTTGTCATAGTCTGGACCTGGTTAGAGATGTTAGTTTAAGATTTTCGACTCAGGAGCTGTCCTCTTTCGCATGAGTCCTTCAGCATCAGCCGAGGTGGTCCAATGGGCTTCAACACGGGCTCGGCTGCTACTTTGTTGCAGCACGATCTTGATTGTTTGAAAGACGCTGCGCGAACTTGCGTGAAGGTCAGCTGATGAGAAATGGTCGTGTTCGAGATGGTTGGCACCTCAGCCTGCCATTTGGAGTTTGAATTTATGCTGGCGTTTTCTTCATGCGAAATCAGGCGAGTGGCATTCGGGCAAGCGAGTACGATGGTTGTCCGAGGAGCTATGGCCTGTCACAGCTAATTCTGCTGTTTTTTCAAGTGACTGCGCCGAGTGTCGTGCCTTCCAGATTTGTTTTTCACATGCAGGCGAGAGACTTGACAGTTGGCGATGGCTTCATTGGCAGAAGTCAAAAGCTTTAGTCTGTTTCTCACAACTTGGATTCCGTGCACGGGAGTGGCAGGCATACAAGCATGCCTTGCAGCTTGACATGTGTCCAAGCAAAGTTCTTGGCGTCCGCGGCATCCGGCTTGCCAAAGTTGTCAGCCGAACGCTGTTTGTCATGATGCGGGCAAAACGACAAGCAACGATGGCAGCTAGCAAGTGTCAATAGGATCGCGATCGCTTGGTTGTTCTAGATTGATTGCACCTCATCGTCCTTGTGTCATCATGGCGCCGCTTGCCCCCTGACCGTGGCTCGCGGGCAGAAAATTTTGTGCTTTGTTACCGGGCAGACTGATTCGCAGCAATGGACAAGGCAACCTCGTTGCTGCAGGCCTTTGTGTTACTTTTGTGGTTGACACGAAAGCTAGCAGCTGTATGCTGAAATTGAGTTCTCCTTGCTTTAGCAATTTAGGGGGCTGCTAGATTTTTTCAATCCTCGAGAGGGGGGGGTCTTCTGATTTGAGTTGATTTGGAAATCAGTTCTTCACCGCCCCCCCCCCCCCCCCCTCCCCAGCAAGGGCGAAGAGTTCGGTCTCGGGTCTCAATGACGTATTGGCTATTGGGTTTTCAATTCTCAATATGTTTGCAACCGTTGAGTCGTACATGTTGTTGTTGGGCTGGCTAGCTTTCGTTCACCCGCCTCTCAAGTGGCTTTAGATGACATGGATTGGGGCATGGCAAGCACAAAACACATCACTTGTGGTTTGGAGGCCCTGCCGTCTTCCAAGGTGGGACGCATGCATTTCGCATCTTTTTGCCGTTCTCAGTCGAAAGACTTCGTTTGTCTGCCGGGATGAGGTCTGCAACTCTCTCAGTGCAGCGTCTGCTGCTGCCAACGCGGCTGAGGACATTTGCCCTTTGCGCTGAGGTGTCGGCAAATCTTTCACAGCTTTTGAGCTCAGGAGGGGAGCAAGTGCTGGGCAGTGCTTCCACTGGGCAAGTCAAGCTGGCAGGAGGCTGGAGGGCTGAATCCTGCTGTGATACGAGAAATGTCGGGTTTAGAACGAGCGGGGTGTCACGGGTCAGGTGCACGCAGCCTTGCAACAGGGATGTGGTCAGCTGGGGGTGCTTCTGGTGGCCAGCCAGAGTCCTGTGTCCCAGCTGGAGGCCGAATGTGAAAGTGTGTCATTTTAAGATGTTCTAGGTGCTAGCAGACGTCATGCTGTTGTTTGATTTGTGCAGCTGACGTCCTGCCTTCACAGGTTCTGCGAGCCATGGAGTATGGCGGAGTCTATGTCGCGAGTGCAGAACTGGAACGCCCAGGTTCGACTTGATCATGTGTTCCATTAGATGCCAGGTGACACGCTTGCCCACTAGTGTCCGTTTGGCCTGATTCAGCAATGTCTAGCATGACGGTAGCATGACTTGTCTCCAAGAATTAACGTAGAATCCTTGTGTGTCAGGAGAATGCCTGAAGGAAGCTGCAAGCTTTACTTCTGGCCCATCAATGGTTTTGTTGGCAGAGGCGGCAGCTATCAAGGCGTGGAGTTGTGGTTCTTTGTTTGATCCATCCTGCAGCACTTGCCGGCTTCTCACTTCGCTTCGGCTTAGATCCATGTATGCAAGTCATGCTGCAGGGTGATGAGCGTTGGACTGCCTTCCGGTGCCAACCTTGGGAAGAGCAGCAAGCGGACTCAACCATCAAGAGTCTCACACGAACAAGCTTTGCACTTGACAAAGTTCAGCCCAGTGTGCAGAGCGCACTGGTGAAGTGGTCAAGCAAGGTATGACCCGCGCAAGGAGGACCAAGGCAGACTGTGGTGCTTAAACTCACTTCTTGATTGGGGCTTTCATGGCGACCGTGGCGTTTTTTGCTAGCCCCGGCCGGGGCTGGTCAGGTGGTTGGTTGGTTGGTTGGTGGGTTGGTTGGTTGGTTGGTTTGGTTGATTGGTTGGTTGGTTGGTTGGCCGGTTGGCTGGTTGCCGCATCCCCAGCATGCTGTACTTTAATTTGTCGCAATTGAGAGTTGCTCGGGGCTGGTTGCGGGTGAGTTTTGGGTCGCCTTAGGGTTGCTTTCGGGTGTGGTTATGCCCCTCAGCCCTTTCACGCGCGATGCATGTATTTGAGGCGTGTTTGGCTGGTGGGTTGGCTCGGCAGTGGGTTGCTTGGTAAGATAGTTGGCTGGCTGGTTGGTTGTTGGTTGGTTGGATATGGTTGGCTGGTTGCGCTACATATTTTTATGTTGCGCGGCAACGATGGCTTCAACTTTGCATCTTGATACGCGTGGAAAACAGAACACACAATTCCTTCCTGGCCTTTTTGTGTGGTAGTGCGGGCATTCCTTGGCGCAGCTCTTGCTAGATATATGTTGCAGCCTTGCATGGCAGGCTGCGCCTTTGTCACCGACAGCGAGCGAGTTCGAGAAGAAATTCAGGCACCGCACTTTGAACGCACGAACTGTGATCCAAGTCTTGCAGAACATGCTGCTGTTGCCTTGACATGCTCAATTGGAGGGCTTCATTTCAAGAGAGAGTCTGCTGACCCTCATCGCCAAGAAGCGCTTGCCTTAAGCAAATGCCGGCTGGGTGCGGAGAATTTGGCTTGCTTCGGGGCCGTTTGTGCATTGCTTGCCCAAAGGTCTCTGCCATCCGCAAATGCGGGCAAGGCGGAAGCTGGCGCGTTGAGTGAAGGCTTGGCAGCTGCTTCGAAGACCGTCGGCACCTCAAGATGATAATCTCGGGTGGATACAAAGGGGATCCCACAGGTTCCACCGCGGTTGCTACCAGGCGAATGGCCACATCCAACTGCAGACCATTTGCTCATTTCGCTGTCGCATTGACAAACGTACTTAGAGACTTTGTTTTACACTGTTCTTTCGATGCTCGCAGACATGGACATGCTGATGCTGCTGCGCTGACTGCAGAGCAGTTGGCCTCTCAGGTGACAATTCTCTATTCCTCAGACACTGGACATGCCGAAGAATGTGCTAAAGCAGTTGCGCTTCTTGACTGCAAGCCTTTTTGCTTGGCACCATCATGCTCTATGAAATATTTGTGGCTGTTCAGGCGTCAGTGCCGCAATGGAGGTTATGCCAGCAGCGCTTCTCAGCTGCAATGAGGAGTGAAGATTATGCTTGCTCTCGATGTTGGTGACTTGCTCATTTGAAGAGAAAACCTCATTCAGGATGCTTTGCAGCTGCCAATACAGCAAATTTGGCCTGTAGTTGTCTTGGTCCCGGCTTTGGATGTTCCTGTACATATAAGGCTTGTTTTCCTCCAGTACAGGTCCTTGGGCAGCTCGATAACTCAGTCTCGTGACTGACCCCAAATGCACTCCAGCCAGACAATTCAGCAGGTTAACCCGTAGCGAAGAGGGCCTTCATTTCCGCCACCCACACTTCCAGTTGTCCTGTCAGGCAGCAGTCCAAACAAGCAAACAGGATGCGTGCTAATTGCTATCAATCTTCCAGGATTCTCACCGACAAATGGCAACAAGCGCCTTTTTTCCTCTCTTTTTTCGCCCTCGAGTTTTCAATGTCAACAGTCCATGCCAGGCTGTTGAACATTCTACAAGCTTCTCCAGAGGTCAAACAATTCAGCTGCCAAAATTCAGACGTGCGGCGCGAGTTCCAGGCTGTCCGATGCGCCACCATGGATTCGTTTGACATCAGTGCATTGGCCTCCGACCCCCTGGTTGTCTTTGCCGTGGCAACAGCCGGCAAAGGCGCCTTGGCAACGTTCAAGTTATGCACCCTTTCAGATGGATGCTTTCTTGGCGACCCAAGAAGTTCCTGAGGTGAGTTCTGCGGCAACGGTCGAAACTTTTTCCAGAAGTTGGGCGACCGCTCGGACCTTTCATTGAGTGCCACGGGCCCAGAGGCATGTCCACGAGGCCCTCTGGGCTGCTTCGCCTTGAAAGGCCTCTGATGTAAACTGCACTGGTCTTGTGAGGAACTGAAGTACTGCATTTTTGGCCTTGGAGATTCTCACTACTGGGGCAAGGGCACCGAGGAAGTCGCGCAGTCGCGCAGTTGCGCAGTACTTGGATGTTGATTGCGCTGATTGAAGCAGGAGTCCAAGTTCAACTTCGCCAAGCCGGCACGGGATTTGGACAATTTGCTGGAGAAGATGGGAGCTCAAAGAATGATGCCAACCGGATTCGGTGATGACCAGGAGCCTCCTTTTGCGGCTGAAGCAGCGAAAAAAACGTGCACCACGCTGGCAGGATGTTGACCAGTACCACACGGGATTTTCGGAGTGGAAAGGTCAGCTTTTCTCTCGTCTTGGTGTGGACAAGGCGCACGTTTTGGTGACACGGAGGACATGCTTGCGAGGTGAACACCTTGCTTGGGTCGTAGGGCAATTGGCAAAGCACCTTGCTTTTTTTTTTTTGTGCCGAAGATGTGATGAGCTATGGCAAACACTGATGCTAGCAGGTCAGAAGTGGAACAATTGCCTGTGGCAGGCTGACGCTGCTGGAGGAGGTGACGACGGTCCAGTAAAGACTGACGAGCAGATCAAGGCAGTCAAATTCAAGAGTGGAGTCTTTGGCGTTTATATCAGCTGTCCAACATATGATGCCGTCGCGAGTTCTCATGCCCCCCTGCTACACCCCATCTCTTGATCAAGAAGTTGTGCCGAAAGGTGGAGACCAGGCAGCTTCGAGGAAGTATGAAGGCAGCTTCGAGTCTGGATTTCACACTTATGTTTTTCTTCAACAGCGCAGCATAGGAGAGCCTGGATGATATCACCACTGGGCAAGTCCCCTTCCAGGCCCCGGAAGATTGGCATCCCAATGTGCGCAGCTGATAGCAAGCAAGCTACTCGGGTTGTGCAACAGGCACATTTGTATACATGTTCTGCAGATTCAGTCAAATGCGTTGTGTTTTTTTGCTAGATTGCATAGAGGTGACGTGCTAGCAAACACGAGTTGGATGTGCCGTGCCATATTGAGCTGCAGGATTGCTGGAATCCATCTACTCTCGAAACATATGTCAAATTCATGTCAAACAACAGAGCATGTGCGCATGCCAGTCACACCATGTAAAGCCGACATTGGCACGAAGTGACGCCAGATGACACAGTTAGACACACGGTTTAGACTCCTCTTTGCCCGGCTGCTGTCTGCTATTGTTTTTTCAACCGTGGCCCTGCCATTTGTCTGCTAGCGTGTATACCCGCGCTCCGATCAAACACACGAACAAAGGAACATTTTGTGTCACGATCATCCGTGTCTTTGTTTGTCCGTGTCATTCTGCGGCTCAAGTATGCGCATGCTGGGAAGTTCGCGCGGTCGGGTTTGGCAGCTTTTCCGAAAGCATGGAATAACTGTGAAACACTGTCAACATTGCAGCAACCAGGTTTCACAGTCTGCCCTACCATTCTGCACCCTTCCGCAAGTTGCAGGTGAAATTCCAGCATCTTCATGGCTTGGCACATGGGCAAACACCACTTTGAGATGGAGTTTTGGCCCCCATTGGCAAGTGAGGCAAGGAACATCAACGATGTGCCGGCGATGCTCTTTCCCTTGAGATTGGTATCACCAATGCTGTCTGCATGTTGGACGTTGCTGTTTGGGAAACAAAAGCAACATGTCACGGGATTGCCAATTTCAAAACCTGAAGCAAGCGTATGCAATGGGGGTAAAATCTGAAGACCCGAAGACACCTACGGTCAAGTCAAGAAATGGCTGCCAAGGCTGACATGATGCTAAGGTCGAAGCCGCGTGTTCGCACAACTGGCGACAAGATATCTCATCAGAGAACTATGAGGTTGAGTCTGGTACTTTGTTTGTAGGCTTTTTCAACTGATGCTCGTGTTTATGAACAGTTATATGCAGCACATGCAAAGTTTTGCTTGCATAAAGCTACACACACACACATGTAAACGTGATGCAACGTTGCCTCTCGGGAGCCGCCGAGTGCCAGAACGCCAGAGTGCCATTTCCTCACTTAGCCGACCCAAACAGGCACTTGCTCAGAGACTTGCATCACGCAAGTCCTTAGTGCGAAGTCCAGATCCGGTTTACTCTCGGACCGGCAACAGGAAGCGCCTAGTCTACTGTGCAAACAGCCTGCAAACAGAAGGCTTATTCTATCACCGGTGTCGCCTGCGTCACCGTGAAAAGATGAGTGGGCTTGCAAGAACATTCCGCGCGCCAATGGTGCTTGTTGTGAGATCGCGCATTTGGTTAGCTGGCTCACCCTGGCAGGACACCAAGCTCATCAAGTCTCACGGCAGCTACCAGCAGGATGGCACAAGACTCTGTTCAAGCGAGAGCACGGACAGATCCACTAACATAGCACCTCACAAGGGGTTTGTTTAAGAGGAAACTGATCTTCCAGGTACCCTCTCACTAGGTGCTATGTTTGTGGGAGGAGGGGTACAAAAAGCAGATTCACTGATGTCCTTTAGGATGATCGCGACCTGCGAGAAGAGCGCCAGAAGATGGGTGTTGAGAATGCTGCTTGATAGCAAATTGTTTTGCCGTGATGTGTGAGAAGATGACAGCAAGCCACACAGCTCAGCCGTTGAGTGGCATGCCTGTTGATATGGCCTTCGTCATGAAGTTGCGCCAGGCATTCAGTTTCATGATTCGCCTCTTGGGCAGCACGTACGGCCTATCCGACCATCCCAAAGTTGCTTCAACTGACACTGCAAAGGATAGCACACCAAGAGACAGCACAGCGAGGTGCAGCAAACGTAATGAGATGGAGGCTCATAACAGATCTTCCCCGCCGAGCTGTGGCTTGCATGCTTTGTAGTGCAGCTTTTACCCAGGTGTGCGGCTGCCGGGCGGCTTTTGCACCGCCGAGCAGTGGATCGCAATGGACGCCTCTTGCATGCAGCGATGACTGGTTTCCTTGCAATTGCATCTTTTGACCTGCGCATCAACTACCGTTCAACTGCATGCCAGCGTGCCAGCTATCGCTTCTAAGCATGTTTACTGCCTGGATTGCCCGCGCCAGCCAACTAAGGATATTTGCCAGAAGTTTGCCAACGGCACGTTGAAGATCACAACCCGCCAGACGTGGCAGGTCCACGGGGTGCTGAAGAGAGACGTGCCTTGGTGCGACATGTTGAGGGGGCATGTTGGACCGGCGAAGGTTTAGAGCAACGTTTGGCGAAACGCCTGAGATGGCAGCCGTGATCTGCATGCAGCCAAGGTGAAGAACACGATGAGGGCCATGAACAAGGAGTCAATGGCTTTGAGTGACATGTATTTGCTTCTTCAAAGGGCTTTGCTGATTGCAATTGCAGATGGCAGGCGTGCATGGACACTTTGGCCGCTTGTGGAGATGTCTGCCGCAATGTGCTGTGCACATCTCGCCCTGATGTTTGCATCTTGGCCGCGCATGGTAGCTGGTTTGGCATTTGCATTTGCTGATTTGCAATGTGTAGGGGCTTGCAATTTTCTTGACCAAGGCACAAAGGAGATGCATGCGGAGGTCCTGCACTACACCTATGACATTCATGATCATTGCCTTCCTCGTTCCTGATTTGCATTGTCAGCCTTCCTACCATGATACGTTTTCAATCGCGTTTGCACCTGAACAGCCATGGGACATTCTTGTTGCTGCGTTGAAGATCAGCGAACCTGTTGGTTTCATTTTTTTGGTTGCACGTCCTGCAACTTCTGGTTTTGTTTGTGCTCACAAGGGAAGAGCATATATTTTCACAATTAATGGTCCACCATAGGCAAAGAAGGCTATTGTCTGCTGACTTCTTCCGGTCATAATTCAGTTAGTTCCTGACTAGAATTCACGAAGGAGCAAGCTGGCATCACAAATCGGCAGACTTTGGGGCATGTGCGAAATGGCTCTGGAGGGGTTGGTAATCTGTAAGGACGCTGCTGTTGCGAAAGCTCAGAAGCAGTGTGGCATGACTTGATGTTTTGGTCTTCCAGCTGTGTGACAAGATTGAACCACGCAGCAATTTTGGACAGTTGACAAGACAATATGTCATGAGCACTCGATTTCTGTTCACTCCTTGCTTTCAAATTGCCATGTCCAGGCGCCTTGCGCAAAGATTTGTCCAACACAATATCCCATGAAGTGGCTTCTTGATCAGGGGTCCGCTTCCAGCTTCCAAGTCTGCACACACTGCTTGCGAAGAATTTGCCCATCGAGGTTCTGGTGCGTATCATGAGATTTTCCTCATGAAAGGTGCGGCGCAGCAGCCGATCATGAATCCGTCAGTCTCTTACAGGGGACTTGGTTTCGGCGCAGGCGATGAGATGGCAGAGAAGATTCAAATCATGGGCTCCACACCGGTGGAGGAAGAGCCCTTGTACGGCCTGACGTATTTGCCACGGAAGTTCAAGGCTGGACGGCTTGAATGACACATTTTCTTTGCATGACTTGGACGGTTCGATGATGTCTCTATCGCAACTCGTGGTCAGGTGGCTGTGGCCATTCCTCCCAGCAATGATGTTGATTTGTTCGCACACTGTGCAGGCCGCTGCGGTGCATCGCTTGTGCACACGGGTGTCTGTTACCAACATGTTGTATTTGCTCTGTTGAACTTCATTTGTAGGCTTCATTGCCATCATCGAGCAGAACAAGCTTATTGGTCCCTTCCTTTTTCCCTAAGTGCAATGCTGTGCAGCCGCCACGGCGCTTCAAGGCTTCAACGTTACTGTGGGTGGTGGACTTGGATTCACTCACAACAACCAGAAGACCCACCCTCGCCTGGCGGATGTCATCGGCTCTTTGGCATACGGAAGGCAAGAGAGGCACTGGCATAGGCAGATTTTCGCGGTGGCCTGCAGATCTTTCATTTCTAGCGGCAAGTTTACTAGAAGTACATTTTCAGGGTGAAGCAGTGCAGTAACATACTGCAAGTGAAGGCGCGCACACACACACACACATGTGCCACTACTATCAGTGGGCAGCCAGAGTGTTTTTCCTTGTGATCTCGTGTCGGCAACAACAACTGTATGTAAGACACATTTTCGTGGTGCCTTGTTGAAGAACAGCTCGTGCCAAACACGATGCCCCAAATCGTTGTGTGCCTGACAATGCAGTCACAGAGCATGTTTTGGCCTAAATGACTTGCTCTTGTGTATCACTAAACTTAATCCTTCTCTCTCAAACTCCATTGACAAGTTCCGGGAGATGAAAACCCAGCCAAAAATGGCTTGAACCATGGTCCTCACTCCATCAATCCATTCCATTCGAGGCTTTTGCAAGCCAGGCGATGCGTACCTTGGCTGCGTGCGGTGTTGGTACTTTGTATGTTTTGTTGGAGTGTGAAGGCATGTTTCGTGTGGACAAGTGCGCGATTCTTGCTGCACTTGAGCCTGGCTTTGCAAGGAAATATGTGTGCGAATGCATTCTGACCGTGGCACGTGACTTTGGCGACCGCACCCTGGACGCAATGGCTGACATTTGGGTCAATTGTTCGACACACTCTGTGCTTAGGCACTGGCCGCAAGCACGCTCGTGTGAAGTACACGGTGGAAGACTATGGGGCGCAGTGGTTCAAGGCACCAGTGCTGCAGTTTGCAAGCACGCTGTTTGCCACAAGCATGGAAGTGACATGGCAGGAGCAGGTGGAAGATCGTCTTGGCTTCAAGCTCGAAGAGGTGAGCTGACAGTTTGTACCAGCGTAGCGCGACACTGGCTGACGGACGGTAGCTAAACATCGAAGGGCAAAGCTCAATAGCTGCTGCAATAGCGGTGTCGCTTCTGTTTTCGGAATCAGATGAATCTGTGGCAAGGCCAAGCCCTACACCTTGGAGCACCGCGGGGACAAGCATGGCACGTGGCTTAGTGTGCGGCTGGCGTGCGTGACATTTTCGCGGCGTGAAAGCAGAGGCTGGGTGAAAACCAACGACGGAACTTGGAGCTGTGGCCTCCTGATCCCCATCGGGCGCGTCAAGGAGAGATGGATTTCCCATTTCGAAAGGAGTGCGGCCATTTTGTTCAGTCTGTTTCATGTTTTTTGTTTTTTTGTGTGGGTGTTGTTTTTTGGCTTTTGCGGCGTTGGTGGGATTTTGCGGCTTTTGGTGGCTTTTGTGGCTTTGCCACATCCTCAGAATCACCAGCACTGCCAGGATCGTGTTTGTGACAAGGCAGTTTCTCAATTGGTATTCTCATTTGTGTTCGTATGGGGGGGGCTGCCCCCCGCCAACTCCCCGGCCTTCTTTGTAAGGCCATTGTTCGGCTTTCTGACAACCTTAAAGGCAAACCCAAATCCCAACCCTGAAGGAACCCTTTGAAATCCAAGGCTCACCCTAAACCTACCTTTCCGCTTGCTGCGGGTTTTGTGACTTGTCGTGGTCTTTAAACCAACTCTAAACCACCACACCCTCCCACCACCACTGAAAATAAGCTCAAATATTCCAACCTTAAGCCAAACCTAAATCCGCCCAAAACCCATTCCAAACCCACCCCAAAGAAACCCTGAAGAAACCTTACCTGACCAACCCTAAATTTACCCTAAACCCGCTCGCAATATATCATCTCAACCAGCCCCTAACCCACTCTGAACCAGCACCGAAAGCTACCCTAAACCCCACTAAACCCATCGTAAACAACACCAACCCGACTAAAGCCGCCCTTTCACGGTTTTCCTTTCCCTTGTGTTCGCCTGGTTTCCAATTTCAACTTTGGTTGGTGGCTTTCCGTAAAAATGGACTGACAAAACCAACCCCAATCCACCAAAAAGCCCTAACCGGAGCCCACTGGTGATGCCGGGGTTTTAAAGCTTTTTGGGGGGCCGGGGCCCTGTCAACTTCCCGGAAAGCATGTTCAGAGCTCTTTGTTCAGGGCCGCAGTTCCTTAACTTTGCTTGGGGGCCGCGTAGACTTCTGGGCCCACGTAGACTTCCCAGAAAGCATTTCCTGAGGGGGGATGTTGACACTGTTGCAAAAAGGGTGAAAAACACAAACATTTGACAACACGAAGCAATTTGACTTAAATCTCGACCCATTTCGAAATCCAAATCCTTTGTTTGCCCGTTTGCTCGGTTGCCCCTCGCCCATTTGCTTCTTGGTCCGTTTGCTGTGTTCATTCTTGTTGTTTGATTGCGATCCCAAGATTGCCAAATAATAGAAGGAGTGCGCCGCACTGGCAAGTTTCGCAGGAGAGCTCGCGGGTTTGCATTCGTGAGATCGCGGAGTTGTTGAAGGGCAAGGCGCTGTTTGCAGAGAGCGACTGATGTCTGTCTAGTGAAAGACACTTCAAACTTATGTCCTTTTTTCATTTCGTGACAAAGCTCAGTATGGGAGGAACATGTCACTTTGTGTGAAATTGGTTCTTGACCGGCAGGGTGGCTTCCGCATGACATGCAACCAGTCCCTAGTGCTGGAGAACATTGATGAGGCCTCGAGTTACAGGTCATAACATAACATACAGTCGCGCGGTCTTCAATTTGGACGTGGTTTATTTTATGGCTCCCTTTGAGCTTCCAGGACAAGAAGAGCAAGGTGCAGGAGCTTCTGGACAAGTATAAGGTGATGCACAGCAAGGAGAGATGCTGTACAAGGAATAGATCTCATTTTGAGCAGCAAGTTTGTGGCTTGCAGTGGCCTGATGACACTTTGCTGCAGGAGACAACTGTCAGTGGCCTGCGCCGCAACATGGTTGCCTGTGCCTCTCTTAAGGGCAGGATGTTGTTGCTGCGCGCACCGCCCTGTCAGTCATGCAGTCGACTGGATATTGCAAGAAGACACCCTTGTTGAAAAAGTATGAATTTGCCAAAGCTGGAAAGAACCAATGATGTACTCAGTCAGTGCCATTTGCGGTGGACATTGCTGTCCAACTGCAGAGCCAATGCAGCCATGAACTCTGCACATTTCTCTACCGTTGCCTTCGCGTGAGTTGAACGAACTTCAAGCACCGCACCTCAGGCGTTGCTTTGCCAACCTGTCCCTTGGCCTTCGCCGAGGCGCTTCTCGCGTGTTCGAATCGGACGAGCTTCGAAGCCAAGTCTTGCTGCAATAGTACGTTCCCGCAATGAGCTGCCTCACGAAACCGCACAAGCAGAAGTTGCTCATGTAGATCCCGAGCAGAGACGGATTCCGAGAGCCATCACGGTAGACCTAGCCGTTTCCGTGGTCTTGCGAGGTAAAGAGCTTGTGACATGGCGGCTCCGAACGGCACGTCGGGCTTACTTTAGTTCTCGTTGGCCTTGGTGGAGCAGTTTCGTCTCATTCCCTATCCCCAAGATCCCCAAGATCCCCAAGATCCCCAAGATCCCAAGCCTCTGGCCATCGTTCGCCGTGCGAAACGAAGCGGTGCACACCTGTTGCTTGTTCCCGTCCAAGGGCCGAACCAGACCTTGTGCTGAAAGACGCCAATTGGCAGAACTGGTGTCCTCAGTCTCACGATCCCAGATGCTGGTGATGGTAGGCGGCAGACGTCATTGCCATCCATGATGCTGATTTGATGCTATGCTCCCCTGCAGTTCGGGCAGTCGCACAAGCCCAACCTAGGCTAAACCTACTATTTACCCCCCAAGCCAACCCCGAAACCCGACCTCAAGCCCGCTCCTAAGCCCACCCAAAAGCAGGAAACCCACGTGACTCCCTGAACCAACTGCGGAAATCACTGTAAAAGTGTGTGACAACTTGGGGGCAGTATTTCTTGAGAACCCACGACAGTCGCTGAAGAACCCAGCGCCGAAATTCAGCTAGCGCCAATTCAGCGGGAGCCATTTCAGTGGACTCATGACAATTCCCTGCCTCACTGCAATTCAGAGCCTTGGGAATGTATCGCCAAAACTCAGTCGCTCATTCATGGGTCAACTCAGCGAGGCGACAGGTGACCAAAGGAACGCGGAGCCGGAACTGAGGCCAATGAAATGAGTGTTAGACGACCATTGCGTGTTTGCTGTATCACGCCTGTCTCCAACTACAGTCGCCCTGTGCAAGGGTGAAAGGCATACTTGCGTTGCTTCGAGACAGGCCACTTATTTCTCAACTGTTTGATTCAAATTGACCACTCCTTCACCTCCTTCAGTCATCGTCAGTCTGTTTTTGCTGGCCATGATACCCCGCCTAGCACATTGCCAGCTGCTTTCAAGGTTTGTGTTGGTGCCTACCACGGCTTGATTTTCCACCTTGCGCGGCTGCTGATTAAGACAAGAGCAGCATTTGACAATATTCACCCGCATCTAGCCTTTTTCGCAACGTAAAAACGCGCGCTGCTTAATAAATATCTCTTGAGTGTGACGTCTGCGTTGCGGCTTGAGGCTGTTGTGAAGGAATGTCCATGTTGCATTCTCGGTTGCTTGCGGTTTCAAGCGAAGGTGACTCGATTGCCCGGACGAGTCGCACTGCCGGCGTGAAGTTGCTGAGCTTTGAGACCCGCGCAGGCAGAGCGCTATTTGCCAACCCTCGTGGAGCGCTTGGAGGCAGTTGCGGACAAGTGCGGCATTGTCCAGGACAAAAACATGAAATCATGAGGCACGTTGAGGCACGTTGAGGCACGTTGGGGCACGTTGAGGCACGTTGAGGCACGTTGAGGCACGTTGGGGCACGTTGAGGCACGTTGAGGCACGTTGAGGCACGTTGAGGCACGTTGGGGCACGTTGAGGCACGTTGAGGCACGTTGAGGCACGTTGAGGCACGTTGAGGCACGTTGAGGCACGTTGAGGCACGTTGAGGCACGTTGAGGCACGTTGAGGCACGTTGAGGTTGAGGCACGTTGAGGCACGTTGAGGCACGTTGGGGCACGTTGAGGCACGTTGAGGCACGTTGAGGCACGTTGAGGCACGTTGAGGCACGTTGAGGCACGTTGAGGCACGTTGAGGCACGTTGAGGCACGTTGAGGCACGTTGAGGCACGTTGAGGCACGTTGAGGCACGTTGAGGCACGTTGAGGCACGTTGAGGCACGTTGAGGCACGTTGAGGCACGTTGAGGCACGTTGAGGCACGTTGAGGCACGTTGAGGCACGTTGAGGCACGTTGAGGCACGTTGAGGCACGTTGAGGCACGTTGAGGCACGTTGAGGCACGTTGAGGCACGTTGACGTTGAGGCACGTTGAGGCACGTTGAGGCACGTTGAGGCACGTTGAGGCACGTTGAGGCACGTTGAGGCACGTTGAGGCACGTTGAGGCACGTTGAGGCACGTTGAGGCAGGCACGTTGAGGCACACGTTGAGGCACGTTGAGGCACGTTGACGTTGCACGTTGAGGCACGTTGAGGCACGTTGAGGCACGTTGAGGCACGTTGACGTTGAGGCACGTTGAGGCACGTTGAGGCACGTTGAGGCACGTTGAGGCACGTTGAGGCACGTTGAGGCACGTTGAGGCACGTTGAGGCACGTTGGGGCACGTTGAGGCACGTTGAGGCACGTTGAGGCACGTTGAGGCACGTTGAGGCACGTTGAGGCACGTTGAGGCACGTTGAGGCACGTTGAGGCACGTTGAGGCACGTTGAGGCACGTTGAGGCACGTTGAGGCACGTTGAGGGCACGTTGAGGCACGTTGAGGCACGTTGAGGCACGTTGAGGCACGTTGAGGCACGTTGAGGCACGTTGAGGCACGTTGAGGCACGTTGAGGCACGTTGAGGCACGTTGAGGCACGTTGAGGCACGTTGAGGCACGTTGAGGCACGTTGAGGCACGTTGAGGGCACGTTGAGGCACGTTGAGGCACGTTGAGGCACGTTGAGGCACGTTGAGGCACGTTGAGGCACGTTGAGGCACGTTGAGGCACGTTGAGGCACGTTGAGGCACGTTGAGGCACGTTGAGGCACGTTGAGGCACGTTGAGGCACGTTGAGGCACGTTGAGGCACCAGAGCACAGAGTGTCGTCGCAGTCGCTGAACTCGTTTATTGGATGTTGGCAAGCCACGCTCAAGAAGAGGTTGTTTTCAGCGACAAGAAGAGACTGTGGCAGGGTGTTCAGCAAGGAAGGTTTAAATCTTGACTCATGCTGCAGGACGACATTGTCATTCGCATGACGGGCTGCCCCAATTCATGTGGAAGGTGCGAGGGTTTGGACACTTTGATTGAGTGATAGGCCCATGCTGCAATGCTTGCAAAGGCCGTCAATGGCTGAGATTGGCTTCATTGGCAAGGACAGCTTCAAGCAGCATGATGTGCAGATTTGCCGTGCTGTAGCCATGCAAAACGAATGTGAAGGGCCTTTCGGGCAATGTCTTTTTTCAGGCTCCTGGCACATACAACATGTACCTAGGCGCCATCCTTAGCATAGCTTTCAGCGAGAGGCTAGTGAGTACTGCTCATGGTGCAGGCGCTGACTTCGTGGGCAAGCGCTTGAACACGCTATTTGCGGAGTCTGTCAGCGAGGCTGCACTTGGCATTCTTCCAGCCTTGCTGTTTGCTGGGAGACCCCAATTGTGGCAATGGATTCAGGATGAAATTATCAAGATCCTTACACCAATCTTTAGCCGCTACTCCAAGGCGGGCAGCTGTGTCACTGAAAGGAGTTTTGGTCTGCCCGCGTGCTCGTCGCTATAGTGCGGCCGAGATATTGGGCTCAGGAAAAGGAGAAGCACGAGAGGTTTGGCGATTTCGTGGTGCGAAAGGAGATCGTCAAGCCGTGGCGTAGCAGCATCTAGAAGTGCTAGTGCGCCACGGCACGGAATCGAATTGCGCGAGCCATCTTGGCAGCCAGAAACTCCGAGGATGAAGGATGGCCGAGATTGGTGGACCACGCCGGAGGTCTGAGTGAAAATGTATCTTGGCAGTTTTGTTCAGATCTTGGTCTGAGGGCTGAATTAAGCCAGAGTAATTGTTGTCAACGTGGTATACACGGCCAGCCAGCCCAAGAGACTGAGCTAGCGATGGTGGCCTACGTCACGTCAGGGACGGGCCTGTACAGACAGGCATGCGAACTTGCCTGCCAAGCTGGAGCACAGACATGTGTCTCCCCAATCCCTTCAGTTTGTCCATGCGGTTTTCCGTTTCATGGAACAAATATCACGCTGTACCTGGCAGACCGCAGAGAGACCACCGGCATGTTATTTGCAAAGGGACTTTTTCCCGGGAGTTGCGCGCGTGCAGCATCGGAAGTTCAATCCCTTTTTGCGTCTCGGTGCACAAGAGGCACCCTTTCTCTCCTGATGGCGCCTGCTAAGCCACAACAAAGGAGGCAACGCCAAACTTGAAGGTAGCGCAAGTCATGCTTCAGCTGTTGCCATCGGTGCAGAGAGAAATCTTGATATCATGTCCGGATGTCTAGAGTTGCTGAAAAGCAACTTTGTAGTTCAGGTCAACTACTGCAATGCCAGTGGGAGCGTCTTTTAGGTCCTACTGTATGTGATTAAATACTATATATATATATATTATACACAAATCATATCTATGTGGCCAATCTAGCTCATAGCATGTGCTTGGCATGATGACCTGGGATCAGTTTTCCATTGCGATGCATGTCGCAAACGCGTCCCACTGCGGAAAACATTGTCAGTGCGAGGGAAGTGCTTGCCGCGTCAGGCTTGCAACGAACTGATTCGGGTGAGGCTGTATGTTTTGATCCATCGGACTTGAGATCAGGAGACAAATCTGTATCCTTCTGTTGGCTCCAAGCTTGTAGAGCAGCCGCAAGGCGCAAATGCAAGAAGACACAGCGTGGCATGCTTGCTCTATGAAAGACATCGGCACAGATAAGCAGACAGACAGCGGACAAACCAGACAGGCAGACGGACGGAGAGTCAGACGGACAGACAGACAGACGGACAGACAGACAGACAGACTGACAGGCAGGCAGGCAGACAGACAGACACACAGACAGGCAGAGAGCAAAAAAATAGAGAGGAGAGAGAAGGGGAGGGAGAGAGGGACAGACATACGGGGACAGAGACATCAGAGCCAGACAGAGGCAGAAAGAGACACACAGAGACAGAGAGACACAGAGACAGAGAGAGAGAGAGAGAGAGAGTGAGATAGAGACAGAGAAAGAGAAAGAGAGAGAGAGCGAGAGACAGAAAGACAGAAAGACAGAGAGACAGAGAGACAGAGAGAGAGTCAGAGACAGACAGAGAGAGAGAGGGAGAGAGAGAGAGCGAGAGCGAGAGAGACAGAGAGACAGAGAGACAGAGAGACCGAGAGACAGAGAGACAGAGAGACAGAGAGACCGAGAGACAGAGGGACAGAGGGACAGATGGATAGAGACAGAAAGAGAGAGAGAGAGAGAGAAATGGTGACAAGCGGTCGAGACAAGAACGAAGCAAGCAACTTAACTGAGACTGCATTCAGTACATTGAATACAAGCCGCGCATGTTCCTGTAATGCTGGAATGGCCATGTTCAACAGGCAAAGCTGCAGCAAAAGTCCGATCTCGAGAGGAGCCGGGCTTTGAGTCCCTATCTTTGCCAGTTAGAATACTGCAGCGAGACGCGCCGCCCACGCCGCCCACGCCCAGTCGACGTTGGACGGTTGGAGCCAAAAACGCTCTGAGCAGAACAGTGCTGGAGCCGATTGAAACTTCGCCAAAGTCCCTGGCATGGCTTCCTGAGGATACACACCTAAGTCTGTCCATCAGCAGCAGCCGGCGCTCCTCGCGACAGGCATACCTTCCACCCTTGGACGCGGATGACGAAGGCTGCCGCATCCATGGCTGCCGCATCCATGGCTGCCGTGGTGCGTCCGAATATTTGTCAAGGCAAACGCTAGGTGTGCTTAGCTCGCATGAGCAAGCTTTTGTGAAGGACGCATTTCTGCGCTTCAAGTCGGGCAGCGCTGAGATCAACTGCAGTGATTTGTACGATGTCCTGAACCATTTGGGCTATTTGGGAATCACAGACGAAGCTGCTACCAGCCTAGCCAAAGAGGTATCTCGTTTCTCAACCTTGGATTTTAAAGAGCTGCTGCGGGTTGTGGAGAGTGCAGGGCCGTGGGAGTACGAGCAAATACAGATGGCATTCCATAGCCATGCTACGCTGGTGAAGGATGGAGCTCCTCATTTGCATGCCACAAGGCTGCCAATGGTGCTTCACGATTTACAGGCGACTTCAGAGTGGCAGGCGATTCGTGAAAGCGTTATCGAAGCGTTGAATTTCGACTTGTCGGAACGGCCAAGTGAGATGACTGATGGCTCGGATGGCTTTCTCTCGTTCAACGATGTGAACCTCGTGCTGGCAACGCTGCGTGCTGCCCAGTGCTGCACCGCTGCCCTCTTGGAGTGTGCTGAGACCCTGTTCAACTCGGTGGCACGCCGCGCACGCGGACGCCTAGAGGTGAGCGTGCCCAGAGCCCCGGAGCTTTTGCAGCGCCTCTTTGACTACGACGCATCTCCCAGCATCAGCCAACTCTGAAGCTGGGCCTGCATATGAGTTTATGAGCTTTTCAGGCTGTTCTCTTTGCAAGGGGTTCCTAGGGCTTTTGTTTTTTGTTCTTTTCATTCCTTTCCACGGCTCTTTCACAAGACATGTTCTTTGTGCGTGGTTGTTTTGTTGGTAGGAATGTGGATGCAGGACTTGTTTCTTTTCCCCGCAAAGCTGGTTTCCTGTCAGCTCGTATTCGTCAAGGTCATCGACTCCGGAGCCGGAAGATGAGTGCCGTGTTTTCTGAAAGTGATGCATCTGGAGACGAGAGTGACAAAGTCGAGCCTGGCCCCTACTTGATAGGGAAACTGCTAGTTTGAGACACAGCCACAATCAGGCGACATGCCATTCCCAAAACGCCGGACACGCAATCCGATTGCCAAGGCCATGCGGACCATGCGACTCAATCACTTTCAGCGAGTTCCTGATTTGGTTGCGCCGATTGCGCTGTCTTGAACTCCGTAAGAGCTGGCTGAGCTACCAGCAGGCAGAATTGAGAAAGAATCAAATGCAGCATCGATGCAATCGACCCTTGAGCATGGATCAAAGGACATTGGATGCACTAATCAGTTTGTAAGCTTATATTTTGCACTTGCACGTGAATTGAACTCCCCAAGAGTTCTGCTTGGAGAGATTTGGTCAGGTCGCCAAGGAGTGGGGTGGCTTGATTGCATTGTGCATGGATAGATGTCAGGCCTCCATTCTGCGCCAGCACTGTTTTTGCTTTGCTGTTTGCAGACAAGGTTATGTGCCCCTAGACGAGTTGGCCATTCTGGTACCAGGCCTTCACATTGACAACTTTCATGCATACACAGACAGTGTTCTGGCCACATTGGAACCTGTCAGACCTACCTTTGCTGCCGCAGCATCGTGCTGGGCACTCATTTGCCCGTAGTCAAACCTAAATGTCCCCCTCGCCGCTTTGTGTTCCAGGACGACCTCTGCAGAGAGGTCGGATTGGAGCCCGATACCCCCCTGCGCTTCGACGATGTGGAGTGCCTGAAGAGGCATTGCTGCCTGATGAAAGAATTCTCCATCGAAGAGGCACCTGTCAACTGAATATGTCTCGCAGCCTGTGCCCAACTCTTTGCTTTGTAGGCAAGATACTTCAGCGGTGTTTTCGGCCATTTCCAATCCGAGGACAGTTGCGTTGACTTGGCCACATCATTGGAAACTCGAACTGTAGACCAACAACTATGCTTGGCAATTTCTCGCAGAGTCTTGTGCTAGTTGTTGAACTCTGCAGCCTAAACAAAATCGAGTTGGAAGAGCGGGGCTCAAAATTGATCTCAATTCGTGGACACCCAATATCACTTTCGAATGCTTTGTTTCAAGAGGTGTGTCACTAATTTTTGACAGCTGCAGTCTCCCGGCCTAAGAGTCACCCGCAGAACAGTTTCATAATATAAGTGTGCGCGCTTTGTATATACATACGCACGTGCAACACGTATGCAAACACACACACACACATGCAAACACAAGCAGACACACAGTGACAACGCAAACATAAAAATACAAGCACAGCCACATGCAAACAAAGAAACACAGAAGCAAACAAGCAAACAAACAAAGAAACACGCAAGCAAGCATGCAAACAAACAAATAAACAAGCAAGCAAGCAAGCAAGCAAACAAACAAAGAAGCAAACAAAAATAAACAAATAAGGAATGAGCCAAACAAACAAGCAACCAAACAAACCATCAAACAAACAACCGAACACACAAACAAACATTCAAACAATCAAACAAGCAAAGCAAGCAAGCCAGCCAGCCAGCCAGCCAGCCAGCCAGCCAACGAATGAACGAATGAACGGACGAACGCACCAACAAACACACGCAAGCAAGCAAGCAAGCAAGCAAGCAAGCAAGCAAGCAAGCAAGCAAGCAAGCAAGCAAGCAAGCAAGCAAGCAAGCAAGCAAGCAAGCAAGCAAGCAAGCAAGCAAGCAAGCAAGCAAGCAAGCAAGCAAGCAAGCAAGCAAGCAAGCAAGCAAGCAAGCAAGCAAGCAAGCAAGCAAGCAAGCAAGCAAGCAAGCAAGCAAGCAAGCAAGCAAGCAAGCAAGCAAGCAAGCAAGCAAGCAAGCAAGCAAGCAAGCAAGCAAGCAAGCAAGCAAGCAAGCAAGCAAGCAAGCAAGCAAGCAAGCAAGCAAGCAAGCAAGCAAGCAAGCAAGCAAGCAAGCAAGCAAGCAAAGCAAGCAAGCAAGCAAGCAAGCAAGCAAGCAAGCAAGCAAGCAAGCAAGCAAGCAAGCAAGCAAGCAAGCAAGCAAGCAAGCAAGCAAGCAAGCAAGCAAGCAAGCAAGCAAGCAAGCAAGCAAGCAAGCAAGCAAGCAAGCAAGCAAGCAAGCAAGCAAGCAAGCAAGCAAGCAAGCAAGCAAGCAAGCAAGCAAGCAAGCAAGCAAGCAAGCAAGCAAGCAAGCAAGCAAGCAAGCAAGCAAGCAAGCAAGCAAGCAAGCAAGCAAGCAAGCAAGCAAGCAAGCAAGCAAGCAAGCAAGCAAGCAAGCAAGCAAGCAAGCAAGCAAGCAAGCAAGCAAGCAGCAAGCAAGCAAGCAAGCAAGCAAGCAAGCAAGCAAGCAAGCAAGCAAGCAAGCAAGCAAGCAAGCAAGCAAGCAAGCAAGCAAGCAAGCAAGCAAGCAAGCAAGCAAGCAAGCAAGCAAGCAAGCAAGCAAGCAAGCAAGCAAGCAAGCAAGCAAGCAAGCAAGCAAGCAAGCAAGCAAGCAAGCAAGCAAGCAAGCAAGCAAGCAAGCAAGCAAGCAAGCAAGCAAGCAAGCAAGCAAGCAAGCAAGCAAGCAAGCAAGCAAGCAAGCAAGCAAGCAAGCAAGCAAGCAAGCAAGCAAGCAAGCAAGCAAGCAAGCAAGCAAGCAAGCAAGCAAGCAAGCAAGCAAGCAAGCAAGCAAGCAAGCAAGCAAGCAAGCAAGCAAGCAAGCAAGCAAGCAAGCAAGCAAGCAAGCAAGCAAGCAAGCAAGCAAGCAAGCAAGCAAGCAAGCAAGCAAGCAAGCAAGCAAGCAAGCAAGCAAGCAAGCAAGCAAGCAAGCAAGCAAGCAAGCAAGCAAGCAAGCAAGCAAGCAAGCAAGCAAGCAAGCAAGCAAGCAAGCAAGCAAGCAAGCAAGCAAGCAAGCAAGCAAGCAAGCAGCAAGCAAGCAAGCAAGCAAGCAAGCAAGCAAGCAAGCAAGCAAGCAAGCAAGCAAGCAAGCAAGCAAGCAAGCAAGCAAGCAAGCAAGCAAGCAAGCAAGCAAGCAAGCAAGCAAGCAAGCAAGCAAGCAAGCAAGCAAGCAAGCAAGCAAGCAAGCAAGCAAGCAAGCAAGCAAGCAAGCAAGCAAGCACACAAACAAGCAACCAAGCAACAAATCACTCGAACAAGGGCAGACAGAACCGCAAGCGCCAGCAGAAAGACAACTACAAGGATAAACGCAAGCACGCACACACACACAAAACAACTCAATCGCACGAAAACACAAAAAGCAAAACAAACACATACGCGCACATCTTCCCGCACGCGCAGCTTAGCATTGCCCAGCTCTAGCTCTGCGCAGCCTTGCCCTGCGCAGCCTGCTCTGCGCGCCAAGCTCTGCCCGGCTCAGCTCTGTGCAGCCCAGCTCTGCGCAGCCCAGCTTTGCGCAGCCCAGCTCTGCGGCCTTTGCCCAGCTCAGCTCTGCGCAGCTCAGCTCGTAGCTCCAAGCTGCGTGTCGAGGCTCTCTCTCTCTCTCTCTCTCTCTCTCTCTCTCTCTCTCTCTCTCTCTCTCTCTCTCTCTCTCTGTGGCATAATTGGCTTGCGTGAAGTTCGCCGACGAACCCTCTGCAAAATTGTGCGCGTCGAACCGCTACCATGGCGCCGGGCGATTTTTGCAGCTGTTCGTTCCCGCAAAAGCGCTCTCGCTGCGCCGCCGTGCAGTTTGTAAAGCTGGCCAACGACCTTCTGTGTCGAAGCGCTCGCCCTGTCGCGCCGCGCGTAGGAAAAGGCGAAGCGCAGAGTTGGCAGAATATTGCACGTGCGAAGAGGCGCGTAACCAATTTTGGACTGGGTGGGAAGCTTTTGGCGTAGATCCCGCGTAGCCCGTTTTTGGCTCATGCGGCCACTGCTGAAGACTTGGTCAAAAGGTGAAGGAAACGGTGGGCTCACAATAAGGCTTTGCAGGCAAGAACTAGAGGGCTCATGTGGCATGTTTACTTTGCCCCCGAATAGGCCCAAACAATGCACCACACAAACATTGTGGACATTTGCATGCATACACACACAATGCAAATGCCCGCAACATACGCACATGCGCTCGCGCACGTGGTTGCAGGCATGTGCCCACGTCCATGCACACGCACACGTGCACGCGCATTGACACTAGACACCTTGTGACCTGAAACCAAGTCTGAGGAATTTGTAAAAATGATGAACAAATTTTAAAATATGGATTATTGGTAAATTTAAAACATTTTTTTTTTTTTTAAAAAAACGAATTGGATTCTTTAAACAATATATAGGTATAAACATAATAATATATATAAATTTGGTCTGTGTTTTTTGGCATACCCACCACGACGACGAACTATACGACGGGACGGAGGGGCGATAATATTTCTAAAATGATGATTGCATGAAAAGCCTCGCAGAAATTCCCTGAGGATCACGCTGGCTTTGTTGACCGAGCTGACTGCCTATGTATATTCCGCTACATGGGTGGCTCGATGTGGCATTTTTCCACTCGCTCGTCTGCAGCATGTCCAAACCAAGGATACGGCTTGAATGGTGACGAGATTTATTCGTTGCTGTTGGATGCCAGAGCTGCAGGGCACCGTGTTCTTGGTTTAGGCGCCCCTTGGGCTCAAGAACGTTGGCGCGAGAGAGATGGCAACTCGGTGTCAATGATTGCCCTGCAATCTGAGGATTTTCTGAACATGATCAGGCTGGTTTGGGTCTGAAGAACCGCTTTTAGGATTTCGCAAGGTGCGGGATTTCTTCAGTGGCTCAATTAAGAAGAAAGCGATGACGAAGTGCTCTGAACTTGCCAGACATTGTGGCTCAGGGCCTGTCGATCGAGACAGAGAGGAATGATCAGGACGGCTTCTAGGCTGAAGGAGTCGTGTGCTTCAGAAAAGCAGAGCGCAGTGCAATTGATCTTGTTCGGCCTGCTTCCTAGGCTTATGAAATGAATGCCCAGCCGTGTGCCAAGTCTTGGTCCTCAACTCTCAACCTTTTCGCAATCCATCCTTGATCTGAAGACATTGACTTGGCTGAGGGACATGGGCTTTTCCGACTTGAGTGACCTGGATGAAACAGGCTCCGCCCTGACTATGTCTGATGATGAGGACTGCTTTGGCAAATAGCATAGGCCGAGTCATCCTTGATATTGCCTAGGTGTTGACTGCTCAATCTTCATTTAACCCGAGGATTCTCCAAAGGAGCTCATCTTTGGAAGACGACAGAGCATGCTGGCTGGCATTTGAAGAGAGAACCAAGAGGCTTTCCAGAGCACGCCCTGCGTGCGCCGTGAACTCTGATCCAAGGCAATGATTGCTCACGTGCAGCCTTTCGTCGCCGCAGTAGCGTCAAGCAGGAAGGGAGCACGGGAGCACGGGAGCACGGGAGCGGAGTTGGATGTTTCGGTTTGTTCAAGGGCCATTTCAGCCCTTGAATTGTGGAGCAGTCGCCAGGGACAGGTCTCCAAGCAGGCTGGCGAACACGCGAGTTGCTTCAGCTCGCTCGCGCGGTGTGGAAGGTGGAATGTGGACACGTGCAGGGAGAAGGCCTTCTGGTGCCCACTGGTGCTTTAGAGGCCGAAAGTTCGGTTTTCAAGTGCAAAGCCGAAGCATTTGGGGGGTTGATCAAAATATGGTGCCCTTTCAGACCGGTGCCGCCCTTGTGCCGCCTTGAAAAGTGGGTGCCAAAAAAAAAGGCCC